TGTGTGTGTGTGTGTGTGTGTGTGTGTGTGTGTGTGTGTGTGTGTGTGTATACGTATGTGCAGAATTCATGTAGGCTACTTGGCTGTAAGTAAAATTAAGTCCTGTAGATTTTTGGTAATGAAAACCCAGTGAGTGGTGCCCCAAGTCCATTTTCATCCCATTTTGTTCTGCCACAACACGTTATTTTTTCTTCTACTCTACAAACATTTATCAAGTACTTACTAAATGCCAGATGCTATGCTTGGAGCTGAGAATACAAAGATGACTAAAAACAAATATTACCCTTCCCCTTTGGTGCTCCCATAGAGTGGGACAAAGCACCACAAATCTAATAATCATAAAACAAATGGAAAACATTAAGTATAAAATGTTACAAGGTGAGGTACATGATACTGTAAGAAGGCCAACTTACCAAAAAATCAATTTGCAGAAAACCAATTTGCCAAAAGTCAATTTTCCAAATCACTGATTCACTGAATTTCCTAACAGACAACTCTCTGAAAGCTAATTTGCCAAAAGCCAGTTTCTAGAAAATCAATTTGATGAGAAGTAGTCTGCCAGATCGTAGCTTCACCAAATGATCAATTTGCTGAATTGCTGACAACTTTTGAAGTCTTCATTTCATAGTTTTGATGCATTCATGACAGCCCTTTAGCCTCAAAGTTGACTGTTTGTCTGGAATGAACGTCAGTTTCCTGTTTTCACACTTTAAATGCAAAGCTCCACTCTACTACTGCCCAATGAGCTAGCATTCCAATGTGGCTCCTTCAGCGGCGCTCACTGTCTCCACCCTGGCTTCTGCCAGCCTCTGACTGCCAGAAAGGCAGCTGCGGCAGCCATCCTGGACCAGGATGATGAACTAATCTACAGATTGTTGCCAAATTGTTGTCAGCAGATTGGTCATTTGTGAAACTGACTCTGCACAAACTGTTTCTCAGTAAAAGTGCCTGAAGTCTGTGTGCTGAGGGCCTGCAACAGAAGTCTTCAGACACATGAAGAAAGCTTCACTGGAGAAAAAGTAGTAACAACTGAACTCAGATGTGAAGAATACCTGAGGCTGAGCAGTGGTGGTGCATGACTTCAGTCTCAGCACTCAGGAGGCAGAGGCAGGCAGATCTCTGAGTTCGAGGCCAGCCTGGTCTACAGAGTGAGCTCCAGGATGGCCAGAGCTACACAGAGAAACCCTGTCTTGAAAAACAAAATACATAAAAAACAACCAGGAGGAAGGAATATAGGAGAATGTCCAAGCAAAACAATAACATCAGGGACCTTTGGCAGGGATAGCGCTGCGATTGTAAGATCTGCAAAAGACAGAGTGGGTGGAGAGGAGTGTGGACTAAGGAGAAAGACAGCCAGGGACCAGGAAAAGTCCATCTGATTTTAATGTTTGGAATCCTTATCGCATTAAGCAGAAAAATGACACAGTCAGTCTTGTGTTTTAAAAAAATCACTGCTTTAGATTTTAAATGTGTGCTTATATAGGCTAATCTCTCACCTACAATTTTTTATTTGATAGTCTAGGAGAGAGATGCTAGTATTCAGACAGGAGAGTATGGAAGAAGTGAAGCAAATTATAATAAATCACCTGCCAAGTTAGGAGGTAGCAAAAACCGGATTTGTTATGGAGACTTTGGTTGAAAAAGAGAGTCATGGACAGTTCCTGTGTTCTGTTCTGCCTAACTATATTGAAGTGCTGTTGCTAAGAGAACACTGGAAGAAAACCAAGCTTGAATAGTATTTTATCAATGAATCGCCATATATGTCCTTATTTTATACATCTTTCAGGCTATCTTCTTTCAAATTTCAAGTTATTGAAGGATTAAATGGGGGTTTGGTCAAAGATGTTTCATACAATGTAGCTCCTCCTCTATACTTGTATTCAATAAACTGTAACTCTTTTTAGGGTATCTTTTATCTACTGAGAATTTTATACATGCATAAAATGCTTCTTGATCATGTCCACCGCTCACTCCCCCAACACTGCCCATCATCCCCTGTGCTCTCTTTTTAGCCCACTAAGTCCAGTTAGCGCTGCCGCCTGCCGGGCACTGGCTGGTCCTGCTCCTTGCTCTTGTGCTGGTTGCCATAGCTGTTGGGTTCCTAAGCGCAATGGCCACCGTGTAAAGCCCCGCCCAGAAGAGAGCGTTCCCCAACACCTCCCCATTTCCTGCTTCTCACATTCTTTCTGCCCTCTTTCCCACGATGTTCTCTGCTGTGTGGGGGTTGACATAGCTGTCCCGTTTAGAGCTGAGCATCAACAGCTGCTTACTCTCAGCCCTGTGACTTTGAAGTGCTGTCCACTACAGAAAGAAGCTTCCCTGGCCAAGGTTGAGAGCAGCATTAATCCGTGGGTATAAACACAGATATCTGGAAGGCAGTTTGACAACATGCCCATTTAGCAAAACAACGGTAGTAGCTTCCCCAGGAGAGCCTATGACCTCCTGAGTCACAGACTTCTGACTGGGTTTATAGTTTCAGGCATGAATTCCTTCCTATGGAACAGACATTAAATCCAAGGAAAACAAAGTTCTTGGTTAGCTGCACCGCCCCCCCCCCCCAATAACATATGTGACATTAGGTGCATCGCTGGGCACATCTTGACTGGCAGATTGGTACTGTAGTATGCAAAGTTCACCACTGGGTAATAACCTTGATGGCTTTTCTTCCCCAGCAGTCAGCACAGCATGTTCCAGCACTATGAAAGCTGGCCAGCAGAGATGAAGTTTTCAGGTCCAGCTTGAATTCTCTATGTCTTGCAACCAAAGTGTGTTGTGCCTTCAAAAATAGGATCAATAAATATATAGCTATGGTGGACAGCCATAGCAATGGCACTAGTCTGTTTTGTTTGGGGGGTTTCTGGGGCCAAAAGTCCCACCAAACACTGATGTATTTTCTCCCTGCATTACTTATTTAAAGTCTTCATATGTTACCATGTGCCTGCGTGAATTTCTGACACAGCAAGAAAAGATATGGAGAGCAGTGTTGGTGGCCCTGGAACGTCCCCTGCTAAGCCTGTGCTGTGGTGACATGTCACGGGTCTAATAAAGCTTGGCATGGGGCAGGAGCTCTAGCTTGCATGAGTCGGGATCCTTTTTATTAAGATCAGTGCTGCTGTGGGTTGTTTAAGGATTCAGTGAGTAAACCTTGGGAAATGTTTAGAACAGTACCAAGCTCATCAGGTATTGTTATCTGTATTGTATTATAACCAAGGAACAATGGCGCTATCACTTCTAAAGTAAATTATGAGACAGGCGCTTATGCAGACTGTGTTCCATAATCTCATTTAATCACCCCAAACTCCCCAAGTTCTGGTTTTGTATAGCTGTTAACTTTAGATTGAAACATTCACTAATAGAGGAAGAGTGAGGCTCACAAGAAACTTACAGAACTCAGACAATCACAAAACTTACAAGACTCAAAAGGTTTCCCTCTAGCAGGAGGAACGAGATTCTTCTTCAGTGTTATAGCTGCCTGCGAGCTTTGTACGGAATTCCAGGAATCAGCTTCTGAGTGGCCGTGTCTGAGTTAGGGCTGCTGTGAAGAGACACCAAGACCACGGCAACTCTGATAAAGGAAAACGTTTCATTGGGGCAGGCTTGCAGTTTCAGAGGCTTGGTTCATTATCATCACGGCAGGACATGATGGTGCGCAGGCAGAAATGGTGCTGAGAGTCCTATATCTTGATCCAGAGGCAGCAAAAGGAAAAACTGTGTCACACCGGGCAGACTTGAGCTTCTAAGATCCCAAAGTCCACCTCCACAGTGACACATCTACTCCAACAAGGCCACACCTCCTAAAAGCGCCAAGCATTCATATTCCTGAGTCCAGGGAGGCCATTCCTATTCAAACCACCATGCCATGCATACTGGGTAGGATTTTTTGGTGACACAGCTGCTGAAGTCGTCCACACTCCTGTAAGTACCACTCGTCTGTACCAGTCAATAACCCAAACAGACTCACTGGTTTACCAAGCTGGACTTGGGCAGAACCATATTTGCCCTCTCTGTGTGGGGCAAATAGAAACAGCCTCTCTAGGCAGCCACTCAGTATCTGTTTATCACCAGTCTATAGATGAGAAGCCTGAAATGCTTCTTTTCCCAGCTCCACACACCTACTAACTCAAGACACTCAATATTAAGCATAGAACACTGAATCCTCCTGTACAGCTCTTGTTCCTAATTCTAAGACACGCTGCCTAGCTGCCTATGCTGCCCTCTAAAAGTTCACTGGTATGGCTAGCCAGGCACTATTTTAATGATAAAAAATATAATTAATTAGCACCCAAATAACAAATGTTAAATGTAATTTCCAAATAAATGTGACTTCTACCTAGAGACTCATTAATGTCAGAAGAAATTTTTAAAATAAGAAAAATTATTCTCCTATTATTTTAACTCCATTTCTCAGGATGTAATAAGGTTCTGATTAGTCTACCTTGCATCTGAGCTGGTAGATTTTTAACTAATAAAATGAAACAAGAATTGCAGGAAAACTTGCAGAAGGTTAGTGCGACTTGCTTCTCCCCACACTCATGGGTTTGGCAAACTATTTCACTTTCTTGGTGCTTTCAGAGCTTAGAAAAAAATGCACAAATCAA